CTTTGTGCAGGATTGGGAAAATCTTCAAAGGCGCATACCTTTTTCCAGAAAAAATATCTCGCCACGCGATGTATTGAAATGGATTTACAGTTATGTCGCGAAAAAAAACCTAAAATGCTATGGAAACCTAAAATGCTTTGAAATACATTTCGCGACGCTCATGCATTGAATTTCGAGGGCGCGGAAATGCATTTCAATACATATTTTCGCTACATGAATAACCCCATATACAAGAATGCAGAAAAGTTCTGAAACATCGGATTCTAAAATGTCAAGTTCTAAAACGTCCCGGAGCCGAAAAGGTCTGAAATCTGCCTTTATTGCATTAAGAATTTCTTGAATTTCTCGAATTTTTGAGCTCTTCAATGTGTCGGATTTTCGATTCTCAAATGTCTTAATTTTCAAACTTCTGAACTTGAATTTTAGAATTTTCTGGATTTTCAATTTTTCAAATTTTTCAGATCGTCTTTCCAGACCATCTCTAGAGAAGAAATGAAAACGGAGAATTTTCAGTTTTGGAGAGAAGTCAAAAAATAAAAGATTCCAGAATCCTACAGTTCAATTTTTCTTGAATTTTTCAGCGAAAGTTCCAGAATCAATTACTGTTTTTCACGATTAACCCCCGCTTACTATGCATAAAACGCTCTCTCCTTGGGTGGCAACACTTCAATATGAACACTCATTCCAAGAATATCATCTTTGGACAGAATCTCTCTCACGACATCATCGATTCCAGTGAAATCAAAATTATCACTGAATTGTGTCGCAATCAGTCGACTACAGAAAGCAATTCCCGTCGATGTCAAATCCCTTCGAATATCCACGCCTTCATAGAAATGATACTTTTCGGCTTTCAATTGATTTAGGGAATTGGCCGCTGGGAACAACATCAGCTTATTCGTTTCCCAATTGATTCCCAATAGCGAACGTTCTGGATTCTCTCGATTACTGTAGAGCAGTGTCATCACATTATCCGCATTCTCTCGCCGTCGTTTACGAAATTCTTGGATTTGAGGAACCAGGTTTGTGTTGATAACGGCAGTTGGGTTGGAGATCAACATGAAGTCGCCTGGAATTGTTCTTTTCAATTTTTCAGTATTTTCAAAGCCTGCTATTACATAAAAATGTGCAGAAAAACATGTAGATTCACATAGAAACTAGTAAAAAAATTGAAAAAAAAAACATCCAAAAATGATATTTCTAGTTCTTCCAGAAGATTCTGGAACTTTTTTTCGAATTCCCGAAATTTAAAATTCCGAAAAATAAGCGATTTTTTGCGATTTTTCGAATAGAAAAATGTATTTTTTCTACGATTTTTTGCAAAATTTTTAGACCTTTTTAGGTTTTACAGCATTTTTTAAAGATTTTTTTTCGATTTTTCCGAGTCTTTTTGTCTGAAATGTGATCGCGAAGATTACTGTAGGTTACTGTAGAACACTAATTTCCTTTTTTGTAGTTTTTTGCGAGCACGATCACGTCAAAATGCAGAGAAACTTCTTCGGGATTACTGTAGCTTGGGAAGTACGCAAACACCGAGTTCTTGCGAAAATTGGGGTTTTGAGCTTATTTCGCGATTTTAGACCAATTTTACTATAGGAAAAACGAATTCGGCGATGAAAATTGACCAAAATAACATTTTCGCAGTGTTTGCGGACCTTTAATTAACTACCGTATTCCAAAAAAACTCAAAATTCCGAAATTGAACTAGAAACTTGTAGTTGTCAGTTTCCAAAATCAAATTTTGAAATTCGCCGATTTTCTAATTAATTTTGGATTACTGTAGCTTGGAAAGTCCGCAAACACCCAATTTTTGAAAAATTGAGATTTATTGCATATTTCGCGAGGTCAGGCTAATTTTACTATGGGAAATCTACAGTAATCTACAGTAACCTTCAGAAATAACATCCAATCAAATTTCAGACAAAAAAAACGGAAAAATCGAAAAAGAAAATTGTTTTTTTTTTTAATTTTTCGGAGTTTTCAGTTTGGCGGGAATTCAAAAAATTCTTCAGAAGCTTCTAGAATTTTCCAGGCATTTCGAGCGGTTTTTTGAGATTTTTTCAAAGTTTCTATGGAAATCTACATGATTTTCTACACATTTTGATGCAGTTTATCAATTTTTTGTCGAAAAAACCCATTTTTTCGATCATTTTCAGCCATTTTTGGAAATTTTCCTTCTCCAATCACCTGTAATCAATTCCCGATTGACTAGCTCTCTCATACAATCGCCAACACTTGTCACAGCGTCACAAGCAACTACAGTAAACTCGGTGAACGCCAATTTCCATTCTCTGAAAATTTACAGTTTTTTGGCATATTTTAGGCATGTTTCCGACTTTTCGGAAGTCAAATTCGGCTTGAAATTTGAATTTTTCGCTTATTTTGAGCTGTTTTTAAGCCTAAATTTGGCCAAAAGTCCAAGTTTTGAACTATTTTTCCCGGAATTTTCGTCGGAGACTCACTTTTTGACATTTTCCGCATGCTCGGCATTGAGCCCGCTCACAACCAACATCACATTCTTCACTTCCGTCCGCATCAACCACGACAAAACGAAATTGATGGCTGGCACATTGCAAATCGGGAATGTTCCCTGAAAATTGAAAAAAAATTGATAAAATATGGATTTTATTAAATTTTTTGTATAGAAATATTGAAGATTTTTTTGTTTTTGAGCCGGTTTAGGCTTATTTATCCAATAAATTGATTTTTTTTTAAATTTAAAAATCAATTTTCAACCCACAAAGCACGGATAAGATTCTTGAATTGGTGCAAATCTTTGATCAAAAGCATCCAGAATAACCACTGCCGTCAATGGTGGCTCCTCTTTTTTGACGCCTTTCTTAAAGGCCGACGATGGTGGTGTCATGGTGGACTTTTCGGTTGTTTTTTTGATTGTTTCTGCAAGAAAAGGAGAATATTTTGGTGTTGAAGGCAGCAAAAATGAGAAAAATCGATGAATTTTGAAGGAATTCGTGTTATGAAATGGCTGAAAAATCGAAAAAATTGATGATCCCAGAGTGCGGTGGAGCGCACTTGCACGCGCATGTTGTGAAAATCTTGGAGCGACGGAAAAAAGGAATATTTTAGGTTTATAAAGAAAAATGAGTGTTTAATTTGTTTTTGAAAAATAAAATTCAGTGCATAAAACCTGAAAAATAACCAAAATCGGTTTCGAAACCACCTTTCTGTATTTCTAGTTCTAATAAAGCGAAAATGATAATTTTTGCGAAGAATGTACCTAGACTTAAAAGTCTATTCAATTTTATTCAAAATATAAATTGTTTCCAAGATTTTTTCTATTCAATTATTGACCAAGTCCGCCGAAAACGCTGACAAAATCATCAAAAATTAAATTGAATTCAAATATTAGCTGTTCCCTCCAAAATTCCCTCCTGTTCAATGGAGTGCGTTTGCTTTTCTTAGTCATTTTCCACCCTTTTTGCAGTTTTTGGCTGAAATTGAATGAAAATTCGGGTTTTTTGTTTTTCAAGTAGCTTTAAAGCATCAGATTTTTCTCATGGAGCAAAAAATCGGTCCCTATAGTATTGCGTAAGTGAAGAGAAATCGAAAAAAAATTTCATAAAAACCAATTTTTTTCAGATTGGTCTCAGATTTTTTCTGTCCAAATGCGGGTGGTGTGGAGACGCATATCTATTTTCTGGCACAATGTTTGATAAATTTGGGACATCGAGTAGTGGTTGTAACTCATGGATATGGTGATCGCAAGGGTGTTAGGTACCTTTCCAATGGTTTGAAGGTTCTATTTCTTGGAAATTGGCGGAAATTCCATTTTTTGGATTTCAGGTTTACTATCTTCCGTTTATCGTTGCTTATAATGGTGCTACGTTGTCATCTATCATTGGGAGTATGCCGTGGCTTCGAAAAGTGTTTTTAAGGGAAAATGTGCAAATTATTCATGGTCATTCGGTGAGATTTATAGAGGAGAAATGTCTGAATTGCTGGAAAAAGTTTGATTTTTGATTCATCTTTTGATTTCACATGGTGGCCTAGAAATTACAAAATTTGGATTTCTAGGCCATCAAGGTTTTCGGTAAATTTTGGCTCATTTTTAGTTAAAAGTTTGAATACTTGTTATTGCTTTATCACTAGAAAAGGCCACTGACAAGGGAATGTCGTTCAGAAAGCTCTTCAGAATTTTCTCTAAATTAGCTCATTTATAGAATCGAGTATGGGCTTTTACGTTTTTATAGAATCGAGTATGGGCTAAAACTCGAGAAAAATCAATCTGAAATTATAGCATTTCCACCAGTCTCATCGCCTCCCTTCTCCTCCCCTTTCTTCACTGCGTTGCGTGCTAGAGTAAAACATGTTTCGGTAGCCTAGTGGCTAGCAGGAAGGACCACGAATGCACACATGCAGGTTCGGGTCCTCGTTCTTTTATTTTAATTTTTCTTATTTTTTCAAACTTAAAAAGCTTTCGAAAGGTTTGGCAAATGGGAAACACTTTTCTGAACATTTTCTATGATCTGCAATGATTTTCGAATAATTTCAAAAAAAATTTTTTTTTGAAAAAAATCGCCAAAAATCGCTACCACACTTTTTTTCATGAATTTTGAAAATATTTTCAGAATTGCAAAAAAGGATTTCAAACGTTCAGAAGAGATAAAAACATCATTCTCACAAAATTTGGTAGCCCGATTTGGTCTATGAGCCCTGATAATTCTCAAAATATGATTATTGCTCAAATTTTCAAAAGTCGTAATTACTCAAATATTGCTTAAAATCGACTGGAAAGTACAAAAAAATGAAAATTTCATCAGTGCGTGATTTAAATAAAGTTCCACTTCAAAAAGAGCAAAACGGACCAATTTCTGGAGCCAAAAGTCTCTGTTTGTGTGCTATATGATACCAAATTTTGTGAGAATGATGTTTTTATCCCTTCTGAACGCTTGAAATCCTTTTTTGCACATCTGAAAAAAATTTTTAAATGGGGACTCCGACCAAAAATTTTTATTGCATTAAAATGTGTTAAAAGTTATCTATTTTCCGAATATTATTGCGAAAAAATTCAAAAAAAATCCGAAATTCCCAAAAAACGGCGTTGAAAAGGAAGAAAAT